AAGAGATTCAGGCAGAATCGCAGATGGTGCTTGACAGGCTGACAAAGAAAGATTTCCAGGGATGCTTCCAGGTTTGGCAGCGGCGCTGGGATCGTTGTGTTCACTCCCAGGGGAACTACTTCGAGGGTGATGGATGAATTTAATACCTGAGATAAGTGTACGGGTTTTTATAGGCGCAGTCTAGAAACTTTCCGATCGCACCTCGTAAATGAAAATCCGCGGATACTTGAATTCCGCGGTTGCTGAAGCATTACCGTAACTTAAAAAAATATTTCTACATGTACTTATTCCAATTCCAAGTACTTCTAACGCAGCCTCTGTATCTCCTATGTCTTAGGGAAACGAGAATTTGATCCATCGCAATGACCTATGGGGTCCGTCCATCAACAGCCACCAGCAGATTCAAATTCTCGACGAAGACGACGACGAAATGACGACAATGTGTCCAGTGCTGCCACTCAACGGTGGTGAGAGTGTAAGGCAGTACTCGTCCAATACTTGCAGTGAACTGGGTTCGCCTCCCGGCTCACAACAAGGCACGAGTAGCAGCGAGTGAAACATCACACAGGGGATCCTGCCAAAGATCCTGGATTGCACGCACTCGCCTTCGCTATAGGCATCACACAACACGCACGCCAATAACATGGAAACGATAAGAAATAAGATTCTTTTGGCTATTCCTGCTCTTAGAACATCCATCTTAAAAGAAATATCCACTTTCAAGATTAAGCAAATAGACCTACATGTAATCGTTTAAAGCTTATTTACGAAAAAGTGAAACCTAAATTGCAGACAGACGTAAAATGATGTACATTGACGCTGGAACAAAATATCAAATTCACATCCTGAAAAAACACAATCCGTTCAGAGAACCTGAAGTTTCTTTCATTTGCCAGTGAACCCAATTTCGTAAAACCATTTCATAGCGAGAGGTCAGTAAACGTCAATTACTCCAAGTTGTACGTACGCCTACGTGAAATAGTTAAGATTATTCGCTCAAATAAACATTCTTCGCCGCCATAATTAATCACTAATGAGTCAGACAGAGATCTGTGGACAGTCAGCTGTAGAAACCATCAGTGGAGTAAATCTGCGTTAACTAAACACCCTCCCTACCACAAAATGACATTACGAAATAACGCCAAATGATTAAGAGACGCACAGGACAAATTACAATTTACAAATTTTCTACTCTAAAGGTCGGAAGATATAATGACCTCGCACGTTCCTTTCAAATGAATTTCTAACATATTTATTCAATTACATTTCATTTTCTTAATTACCATCAATGTACCGGTAACATCCCGCAGAATCGATACACGGGAGACAATGAGATCCACGTCACTAAATCCAGCCATTAAATAGCACCAACATTTAACTACGAATCAATTATATGGACCAAAATGTGAGGGTGTCAGAATAAACGGGAAAGAGACTGATAAACTAATCCGAGACGACTACGATAATTACCCTCCTCTTAACACTTCGATGTTTATATCAGGAGCGTAACACTAAACCACGGAGGTGTCGAGGATCAGCAGCGCAAACTCAAGACATACACAAGAGGTTGCCCGTTCAAAGTGACAGAAATTCCCTGAATTGTCACGTCAACATGCTGGCCTACAGATGAAGTCCTATAAAACTGTATTGCATGTGCTCTCTCTACAATCAAGTGCACGGATTATTCCATGACGTAAAAGTAAATTTCACGCACTCGTAATTGCGACGAACAAATTCGCAGGCCTATAAGAACGTAGAACGTAGTAAAGACTGCCCACATACGAGGTGCGATCGGAAAGTTTCAAGACTGCGCGTATAAAAACCCGTACACTTATCTCAGGTATTAAATTCATCCATCCCCCTCGAAGTAGTTCCCCTGGGAGTGAACACAACGATCCCAGCGCCGCTGCCAAGCCTGGAAGCATCCCTGGAAATCTTTCTTTGTCAGCCTGTCAAGCACCATCTGCGATTCTGCCTGAATCTCTTCTATATGGTGTTTGAGGCCAACAACTGCCGAACTTTGAGGGCGGTGTGTGCTGGCGCGTTGTCATGATGCGTCGCATGTGGAGTTCTTCCTTTAGAATCAGCTGACAGGTCCCATAGCCTATCCCAGCAATGTCGCACAAGTCGTTGATGGTACGACTTCGATCTTCGTAACATTTTCGGGCGTTGTGCTCGAAGATGGTCGTCCAGAACGCTCGTCATCATCGACAGAAGTTCGGCCGTTTTTAAAACGTGAATGCCACACAAACGTTTGTGCACGACCCATTGCGGACTCCCCAAATGCTTGCTTTAGCATTTCATAGGTTTCCGTAGCCGTTTTGGCGAGTCTTTGGCAAGAGATTCAGGCAGAATCGCAGATGGTGCTTGACAGGCTGACAAAGAAAGATTTCCAGGGATGCTTCCAGGCTTGGCAGCGGCGCTGGGATCGTTGTGTTCACTCCCAGGGGAACTACTTCGAGGGTGATGGATGAATTTAATACCTGATATAAGTGTACGGGTTTTTATACGCACAGTCTGGAAACTTTCCGTTCGCACCTCGTACATCAAAGTAAAGAGTAAAGCTGTCTCTCTACGCGTCATGTAGGCGCTTGGGGGGAGAGACTAATTCCCAACTCAGTGTACTAATACCGGTATGTAAGTTTCTTCGAGATGTTTCTCACACAGCACAAATATCGTTAAATCACTTAGTAAAAGAAAACCAGTTTCAGGGCACCCACCTAAACTTTTCAATTCAAAACGGTGTTATCCAGTGAACATTATGCCTCAGCAAAAGATCTTCACACCAAGACAACTGAAGGCGAGGTAACTCTATATATAATCATTTGTTTCTTCGTATTTCTCGTCATTTTGTACAAATTTGATTCTTGAGATGGTAAAGTTGCGTCATATTGTGATATAATAAATATATATTAAATCTTGTCCGTCTAATCACAATAAATTCTTATTAAATATTAAAATATTATAATAATTAACATTTAAAATATTTAAAATATAATAATTAACATTTAAAATATTAAATGATGTTCTTTATCGAAATATTCGAATATTTCGATAAAGAACATCATTTAATATTTTAAATGTTAATTATTATATTTTAAATATTTTAAATGTTAATTATTATATTTTAAATATTTTAAATGTTAATTATTATAATATTTTAATATTTAATAAGAATTTATTGTGATTAGACGGACAAGATTTAATATAAATTTGATTCTGTTTACTACAGTCGCCCTTTTCCAAAGCCGCTTCGCAAGTGTCAGTATCCTCTATGCTGTGTAAAATAATAGTAGTAATGTTGAAAACTCTTGTAATAAGCAAATGTATCAGAAAATACCGAATTCAAACGAAAGGATTTGTACGAAGAAAATCTTTTGCCAAACAACTGAAACATGGAGATGCTTCATTGATAATTATACCTGAGGACGGTTAAATATAACCGAAACATGTCGTAAGAGACGTTCCAATTTGTAAATCGATCATTCGATGCGGAACGTGAAATGATATTTTAAATATTTTATATTTTATTATCTTATTAAAATTGTGATTTGACGGAAAATATTAAGATATTAACCTAATTCACAATATGACGCAAATATACTACCTTATGATAATTAACTGCCAAATGCATTACTGTAATTTGACGTTTTAACTATAAAATTATTCTGTGGGCTTAAATGTATGCGTACGTTAAGAAACTATCATTTTTAAACGAAATCACTACTGTTGCATCTCCAGTATTATGAATGATAATTAAAAATCAAATTAATTGTTTTACGAAAATATTACTGAAACCTGGCATTCTGTTTCAATCGTACTGATAAGGCAATTATTCACATCTGCACACATTATTAATCATGGTGTATATCACTTAAAATATTCTACAAAGCTCACATTCGAATGATATGTAACTTGCCAATAGCCTGTATTTAGTTAAGAAATCAAACAAATACGTAGTCACCGAACGAGGCCATTCATTAGCTATTCATTGGTGTGAATTGTCCCCAAACCCCGTTCCGGGGCTGACGGGAAGGGGCTCAGACCCCTGAAGATTTTAACGGCGGTGAGTCCAAAGACGGCCGTCTTAATATATTTTTATATTTATAAATATCAAAGTTAACCATAAGAGAAGTTAACGACAGAGAAAAATTGTCAGCGGAACTACGGTTCCGGAGAATTTGACGTAAATACGTCTATACGGAAAGGAAGTTTATATATTGGCTTTATTCTAAATATTTCCTTTATACATGCTTTACAATTGAGTAAAGTTTGATTAAGACTTTGCTTATTTAACTTGAATTAGTTACGCTTAAGATGGGTCTGTGGTAGATGAATGTAATGTTTTATAGGTAACAACAATGCCGAGTAAACAGATGAGGTTTCCTAAGTAACATAACAATGAAGTTACACGTTTTCGTAACACTTTTTCGTAACACTTTTTCGTAACACTATTTCGTAACAATTTTTCGTAACACATTTTTGCCGAATGACATTGACCCTAAAATATAGACGTATTTACGTCAAAAATCCACATTACACTGGCCAAATGAAATGTTTTTGAGGACTAAAATGTTTATATTCGGAAAATAACCTTATATAAAATAACGAAATCGAAACTGGATACACGCTAATGGTACAATATTTATCTCCTTACGTCACAACTAATTTGATGTTTTTTTTCGAAAGAGCACTGACTGTACCAGCTACTAGTATATCATATCGTTAATTGTATTGAAGTGTTGTTGTTCACAAATGTATTGATGTCCTGTGAATTTCAGTTCTATTTCTGAATCTGTGTCAACGAACTGTCTTCACCATTTAAAGTTTCCAGAACGAAATGTTCTTTTTCTAGAGTAATCAACTTTCTGTCAGGTTCTGATGCTTTACATTGCATCAATTGTCATGTATTCGGGTAAATTAAGTGTATTCAATAGTATTACTAAAGTATTTGCTATTATCCTCCCTTTAAAAAATGTGTAACGTGCTCGAATAAACCTAACTACAAACGTCTTCTGAGGTAGGAGTGAGCTACGTTGCTAGGATTCGTCAGTGTCTGAACTTTTAGATGCTGAAAACTGCCGGGATTTTCCTCGTTTCAAAGACCTTTATTTTTTTTTTGTAGTGTTCTGTCTGACGACAGGTCCATATGAACGGGATCCTTCCATCCTTTTCTCGGACTGGGACCTGTTCATATACGTTCTTGGCAGATGATCCAGAAGTGGTTTGCCATTGCCTTCTTCTGTGTGTGAATGGAGTAATTGTTGGGATGCCACGGAGGAAAACTCCGTGTTGCCTAGACCACGGCCTTGCCCAACACAAGTTATAAATTCGGGCACCGCCGGGAATCGAACCCGAGACCCCAGGATTACAAAACCAGCGTTCTAACCGCTAGACCACCTTGGCACTTCAAAGACCTACAGGCCTAAAATAGCAAACTCAGCTGTAAAATTCTCGGTACACGACTTTAATAACGTGGAACTTACGTCTAGACTTTGGTTGACTGGAGGCGTGTTCTGTCATTATAAAATGTGAAGTCAATACAATCCGTTCTATTACGTTACATAGACATCAAGGCCCTTTGTTTCAAATTCTTCAACATGACATACGCCCTTCCCAATGTCCTAATGAGGAATCCGTTGCCCCGACAACACTAAATGTACTACGCCTGTGGCGTATACAACCCGTCACGAACATAGAATTTATTTTACGAATCCACAAAGTTAAAATAATAGTATCCAAGGTTCGCCAATGGACTTGAGAGAGTTTTTATTACAGACAGAACTGTAACATTTGGTGCACGTTACACATTTTACAAGAATTTTCCGAGTAAAGAAAAGTGTTCTTATATTTCACGTTCCTCAAAAGCAAA